ATAACAAAAATAAACACCGGTATTCGGTATGAACCGGTATACCGCCCAGCACTACAACTAGCCTATATTTAGTACACTGGTGACAAGATGTCCCCATTTTCTGGGGTGAGTTCCAGTTTTTGGTGTCATGTCTCCAACTCCAACTGAAGTTGTCCCTGGCAATAGGGAAAATTATCAACACAATTCAGGATAGCAAAGATCCATTTCCATAAACACAAACATCATTATATTAGCGTTAGCCGCGCTTATGCTACACGTTAATGGGGTCGTTTTTCAACCCGCGGACATGAAAAACAACCCGCGGCAACAGTGTTAAAGCAGCCCAATTCCGCGGGAAAACCGCAGACTTGGCAACACTGGAAGAGGATCGCTTTCGGATAGCGCATCAAGAGCCCGGTTGACCGGGTACTCGGTACCACCGGTACTTAAGAAAACCTGGTACCGTAACGTTTTCATTTTTTTAGTACCGACTTGGTACCGAAATACCGGGTCTTTTGACAACACTATCAAGATAACTGAATTGATTTGTAAAGTGTCACAAGGCCTCACAGTCTCAGTCAAAATTCTTAACATTTGATCCAAATATTGAAAGTGTATTTTTAGTCTGTTTCTGAATCATTATAAGACAAGTGCAAGAATGACATGTGTATTTTTTTTTTTTGTAAGGCTATATGTTAACCTTATAGTATAACACCTATACCCCACAGTTTTGCTAGAGGCACACATCTCAAAAAACATGCAATCAATGATTATTTGAAAAAAAAAGAAATCATAGCTAGAAGATGACTGTTTTGTGATGTGTATTGTCCTTAACCTGTTAGCGTTCCACTGTACTGCCCATGGTACACTGTGTGTTTCTGAGGGTTAACTTCGTGACATACAAAAAAAAAAAGCTAAACATGTCACATATCTTTGGAAAGCTGAGATTATTGTGATTCGAATGATGCAAACATTTTAACATTTTAAGATACAATCAACACAGCAGATACAATCAGTGCCTTTGTCAGACCGCCAACAAGTCAGCCATGACAACCGCATTCTGTAACCGAACTCACACACGCGCTGTGTGAACGGAACAGGACTGGACAGCTAGTTGTCTGTCACTTCATACAGTGCGAGAGAGAGCCGCTCTGCTGCACAAACGCGTGTTTACCGTGTGTTGCGTGTTCCCTTTCAAGGGAACTTCGAACTGGGGTCTCTATGGGGAACACCTTCAGTGTGACCGGTGTCTGAAGCATATATCTAAAAACGACAATAACATTGGCCGGCTACAGCCTATGACGTCATTACCCTGCGCAATCACAGTATAAAAGGGAGCCGGGATAACACACACCATCCTCTTCTTCGTCTTCACTGACATTTGTTTATGTTAGCGTTAAGCTAAACACGACTAGGAGTGCATGTTTCTCGCCAGAGGCTTTGCTCTGATACCTGCAGTTTCACACGGCTCGCGTGCTGTGTGTATGTGTGTGGTGAAGAACAAGCACGTTCAGCTCTCGAGGGAGTTGGATGCACTCTGCATTCATTGCTTATTTCTTGTGAGGGATAAGCATGAATTGAACGCGCTCGTTTCACGAGGAGGTGGCTTGTGCTCATTGTGATGCATTCGTGGGACTACTGAGGGGGATGTGAGTATTTCACCATTTACCCGAGTTTGTAGATAGCGTTTGCATGAGTGCGTTCGCCTCTCGCGGGAATAGCGATGCATTCACGGCAGCAGTTTTTGTTCGCGCTTGATTTCCGAGGTAATATCTAGCGTAGCGTTAGTTCTGGCAGGTCACGTTAGTCAAGCTTGCATCAGCTGACTCTCAGCTGATCCCCATCAACCTACGGGAACGTCTTCACAAGCTAAGTTCCATTTAATGCTCTCAGGTTATCTGCAACATGCGTGTTGCTAAGGCTATCTCTGTTGCTTGGGCTCATTAAGTTGTTTTCAGTTATCTGTTGTCACTGGCAACACGCTTGTCGCTGCAATATGCTGCGCTTAACGGGGGGTTTAATGTCATGTCATGCAATCTGAGTTATTTACACTGTTAAGAGTTGGATTCTTATGGCGCGCGCGCACTCAGCGACCCAAGCGGCCGCTTAATGCGTTTCTTTCATGGTTACGGAAGTCTTCGGCAGCGCCACAGTTACTTGCTCGAGAAGACGGTTGTTCGAGAGGAACTACACTAGCCTGCCTCCGGCTGGAGAGAGTAGCCGCTTGCAGTCGGTA